GCGTGCACGCCCTGCGCGCGGCACGGTCGGCCCGCACAGGCCGGCCGTGCCGCGCGCAGGGCGCGGGCTGCGGCCCGATCCGAGGCCGCCGGCAGAGCGGCATGCGCCGCCAGGGCAGCCGCCCGCCGCCGCCCCGAGCGCAGCGCGGCACGTGGCGCGGAGCCTGTCGCCGCCAGCGGCGTGGGCCCGCCGCGGGGGGCGCGCCGCCGCAGCACGAACCGCGCGACGGGGATAAGTTTCGAGGAGGAGGAGGAGGAGGAGGAGGAGGAGGATTCGGGAGAAGAGGAGGCATGAGGCATTAGGAGTGAGGAGGCCTCTGCAGGCCCAGAACCGACGAGGAGCGTCGCGGGCAGGCAGCAGGAAAACGTGCCGCCTGCCAGCCCCCGCCCCCCCGCTCCCCTCTCCCCGAGGAGGCGCCCACCCTCCTCCCCGGCAGCAGCGGACTGCGGCCGTTCTCGAGGTGCGATCAGCTTCTGTGTCGTGCATCCCCCGCCTCCCAGCCGCAGAGAGGCGTCCAAGAGCGCGGCAGCGCTCGAGGAGCAGGCCAGCCAGGAGGACCAGCGCGCGGCCCGGGCGGGCGAGCTCCTCGCGGGCGCCGAGGGCGCGCTCAGGACCCCCGGGGTGGGCCGCCGCCGTGGCCGCCGCTGGAAGTTCGAGGTTCCAGGACGCAGGCATGATTCGACATGAACATAAAAAGTGGCATAAACAAAAAAGGGAGCAAACATATAAAAAATGACATGCACAACAATTATCCCGGCAAAGCAACCTAACAGCGATGTGTAGAAGCATATCTGGAAGCATTGCCCTTGAGATTCATGTAGGAGTCCTGTTGTAGAATTCTGGTGTAATCGCAGTCGCAGTCGCAATCGCAATGGCAGTTGCATTGGCAACGGCAGTCGCAGTCGCAGCCTCAGCCTCAGCCTGCCTCAGCCTCAGCCTCAGCCTGCATCAGCCTCAGCCTGCATCAGCCTCAGCCTCAGCCTCAGCCTCAGTCTCAGCCTCAGCCTCAGCTTGAGCCTGCCTCAGCCTCAGCCTGCCTCAGCCGCAGCCTCAGCCTCAGCCTCAGCGGTGTGTTCCCCATAGTCACTGGCGGCGCTGGGGGCCTCAGCATCAGCCTCAGTGGTGGATTCCCCATAGTCACTGGAGGCGCTGGGGGCCTCAGCCTCAGCCTCAGTGGTGCGTTCCCCATAGTCACTGGCGGCGCTGGTTGAAAATGTGGCCCAGGAATGGAGTTCTGGGAACTCGAAGAGCACGAAGTGGCCTACAGTTGGCTCCGGGCATTGAGAATGTGGCCCGGGAATGGAGTTCTCGGAACTCGAAGAGCACGAAGTGGCCTACAGTTGGCTCCGGGTATTGAAAATGTGGCCCGGGAATGGAGTTCTGGGAACTCGAAGAGCACGAAGTGGCCTACAGTTGGCTCCGGGTATGAAAATGTGGCCCGGGAATGGAGTTCTGGGAACTCGAAGAGCACGAAGTGGCTTACAGTTAGTTCCAGGCATTGAGAATGTGGCCCAGGAATTGAGTTCTGGGACCTCGAAGACCACGAAGTGTGCACTGTTTGCTTAAAACGACTTCCGCGGATTCTCCCCGGATCCTGCCCGGACCTCCCCGGGGAGTCATGATGCTTTCTTTTGAGACCATTAGAAACCTATCAGTCTTCGCTGTTCGGTAAAAACACGCACGAAACCGAAAAATGCACGGGAAATGGACGTCCGAGCGATGGCGAGGGGGGCCCCAGCGCCGATCCGAGAAATCCGCGCGGACCTCCGAGTTTTTATGTTTATGCCACTTTTTGTTCCCCTACTAGGCCTCCTAGATGGGGTCGGAGCAGAAGGGGTCGGAGGATCGCGCCGCATCGCCGATGCGGCTCGATGTGCAGGCCGATGTGCTTCACGTCGACGTCGCCGATGCATCGCCGGTGCATCGCCGATGCGCCGATGTATCCCCGATGCATTGCCGATGCATCGGCGATCCTTCTCCTCCTCCTTCTCCTCCTCCTCCACCTCCCCCTTCTCCTCCTCCTCCTCCTCCTCCTCCTCCTCCTCCTCCTCCTCCCCCTCCTCCCCCTCCTCCCCCTCCTCCTCCTCCTCCTCCTCCTCCTCCTCCTCCTCCTCCTCCTCCTCCTCGTCGTGGTCGAGGCTGGCCGTGGCCAGAAACATGTCCCCTCGCTCCTTAGTTGGCGCTACTCATGGTAGCACGACGGCGGTGGTCGACGCTGGCGTCCCGCCGCCACGACAGGCGCGGCTTGCAAACAGGCCAGGATGAACCCAGAGTGCGAAGGCAGATTTGGGGCGTACCCTCAGGATCCTCGATCAAGGTCAATGGATGGGTTCTGTCGTGCGCACGAGCGCGCGGTGTTGTCGGGAGCACACTGCGTGGGAGGGGGGGCCTGGCACTGTGGCCCTCTCCCCCATGTGACGACACGGGGTTTGAGCCAGACGGTCATTGAGGCGAGTGGAGGGACCAGGATGAACAGTAAGAGGATGAAAGACGAGAAGGAGAGCAGGAACAGGAACGAGAGAGGAGGGAGGAGACGGTCAAGAGAAGGAAGTAGTACTCAGAGCAGAGGAGTGAGGGAGGATGGGGGAGTGGGGAGGAGAGGGAAGATCAGCAGTGGACGACGAGGCGGAGGAGGAGGAGGACGGGGGAGGAGACGCCACGGGCGTGGCGCCCCCCCCCCCCCCCCATTGGCTCGGGATGGCTCCCGGCGCGCTGGGACTGCAGGCGCCACGATCCCGCCGAGAGGCGCGAGAGGTGCGCGGATCTCGCGGCGCCCCCGACGCCCCGAGGCCTGCGGGTTCGCCCGCGGGGGCGCCCGAGCACTCGCGTCTCGCGCGCGCGCCGCGGTCAGGGCTGGAGCGCTGCCCTCCTCCAGGGGGGGGACAGCGCTCGTCGCGGGGCGCGGGGCGCGGGGCTCGCGGAGCCGCGAGGGGCGGCTGCACGGCAAGCTCTCAGACATGTGGTGACGGCCAGTCTCGGTCACCCGGGCGAGGAAGGGGGAGGGAGGGAGGGGGCAGGGAGGAGCGAGAAGCGAGAAGCGAGGAGGGAAGAGATAGAGAAGAGAGGACGCAGGATAGAGGAGGGATGCGGGAGGAGGGTGGAGAAAGAGCAAGGCGGATGATACGGAAGACGGGGAGGCAAAGCAGGAGGAGGAGGAGGAGTAGGAGGAGGAAGTGGAGGAGAAAATGCGCGAATCTCCCCGCCCAGAGGACGCTGGAGGAGACGAGGGTGGTGTTCCTGAGTCAGATTGCGGAGAGCGCTCCGGAGCTCCTGGACGCCCTCGTGCCCGAGCGACCGGACAGCGGCGAGGGGGGGAGTGGGAAGTTTAACCGCATGCCGATGATAATAAAGGGACACCCCCCCTTCACTGTTTAGAGTTGATTATCGTCGCCCTATACAAAATTCAAATTGGGCGGCGAGCGCTGAGGCCGAACTTCATTATCAGCTCGAAACGCTATGTTGAGATAGCAACATCAAGCGATGTTGATATAGCAACATCAAGCGAAGCGATCACACTTTTTCAGGATGTGTCAAGCGAAACCAATAATTTTGGGAGGCTTTTTCTTTTTATTTATAATTTTTATTATCTTCCTTTTCATATATGTATCTATCCCCGCGCGCGCCTGAACTTTTTTATCTCTGGGGTTGATTATCCATGGAAAGGGGAGCACATGAGCTACCTACATGAGCACTTAAAAAATCAATTTTCATAAAGCGTTTGTAAATTAAAATTGATAGATTTGGAACTTTCCATTTTTCCGTTCTTCTTCTCTTCTTATTCTTCTCATCTTCTTCTCTTCTTCTTCTCTCCAGCGAGATAAGCCATTGTTGAGGATATTTCTATGAAAACTAAACGCCAAGGATGTCTCAAAACGTGCTCGGCTTGGTCTCCTCTTGATCATCTCTTACTTCGAGATTATGCTGAGCTCTGCTGGGCTACTTTTATTATCTCTCCCTGAACCCCGAACTTTATTATCCCCTAGTGTTTATTCTCACGGGCATGAGGTTAGTTCACCGAAGGGAGCGCGAAGAATACCGCGTTTGAGGGCGATCTTGAAGGAGGAGGAGGAGGAGGAGGAGGAGGAGGAGGAGGAGGAGGAGGAGGAGGGAGGAGGAGGAGGAGGAGGAGGAGGGAGGAGGAGGAGGAGGAGGAGGAGGAGGAGGAGGAGGAGGAGGCGGAGGAGGAGGCGGAGGAGAAGCGAGCGAGCAGCAGCCGAGAGGCAGTTGGGTCGGGCGCCCGGTAGGGCGGGGCAAGTCCCCCAACCTCGGGGGCCAATGCTTGGAGCGCGGGGCCCGCAGCCGTCCGTTCTGCACACGGTTCGGATGCGGAGGAGGGGAGCCTGCAAGCTCCCAGCAGCGGCGGGACGCCAAGGCCACCACGGTCGAGGCCTGGAAATTCGGAGAGTCCGGGGACGTCCACGAACCCGTGCAGAAGCAGCTGGGTGCGCCCAACAGTAGGGTATCCTAGGGGCCAGTTCGGCTGCAATCCCGAAGGGCTCAAGAACGACGGCACGTGCCGCGACGCTGCACCTGCCCTCGGCAGGATTTTGATATGGGTGACGGGGATGAAGCACCACTCCGTCCGTAGCGAAGAAAAATGGCAAATAATCAACAAGTTGAAATGATTACCGTGGACCGTCCTGCGCTCTGGCTATCCGGAGCATCAGGCTGGGGCATCGTCTTGACGTTCAAACACCAGGACTTCTGGATTCCTTGAGGCCGTTCCAACAATTCGCGCACGCCAAACAGAGGAGGAGTTATAGGAGGATGAAAAGGAGGATACATACGAGGATGATAAGACGGACCTCGTACTCTTCCACCCTGTTCTCATTCAGCCAGTCCTCCTCCCTCATCTCCCCCTCTTCCTCCCTTCTCCCTCCTGCTCCCGTCTCCGAGCAGTGCTGCTTCTATTGTCGCAGTCGGCCGCTGACGTCTTCGCTCAAGCTTTGCCCCCGAGGATGCCTGTGGTCCCTCCTCCGTGGGCAGTCGGCGTGGTCACCCAGCTCGCGCACGGGGTGTCTTTCTGGCCGGGTCCGGCGGCTGCTCCGCCGTGTCCGAGCTGCCCGGCCTGCCAGTGGCGTCTGCCCAGCGGTGCCGCCTGGCCCCGCGTGCCGTGGGCCCCCGAGACGGGCCTCGCGCGCCGCCCGTCGACACGCCGAGGGCTGGGCCCCCCCCCGCCCCGCCGGCCGCGGCGGCCTGGCTCGCCTCCGTGCTGGCCCTGGTGGTCGGCTTGGCCCTCGGGCAGAGCAGCTGTGCTGCAGATGGGCTGCTGCGGCCGCCGCCGCCGTGCCTTAGAGGGCCCTGGAAACGACGGGGCCGTTTTTCTACCGGCTCCGTTTTGCCGTTTTTGTTTTGCCGGTTCCGACGCCGTTTTTGTTACCGGTTCCGTCGCCGTTTTTTGACCGGTTCCAGCTCCGGCTCCAATCCTGGAGCCGTTTTTTGCAGTTTCCAGTCGCCGTTTTTTGCCGTTTCCATTTTCAAGGGACATTATAAGAAACGGCGAAACAACGGCCCTGCCGCTTCCGGGGCCCACAAAGGCCTCACCTGCCCGATGCAAAACAGGTGGCCTGCCCGATGTAATCGCGCGGTGGCGGGCCCCCCTGCTGCGCTGTGGCACCAGCGCTGGCTGATGGGCCAGGTGGTGCCCTGTCCGACTGACGCCATCCCTCGTGTCGCCCGGCCGCCTGGTACCACTGGGAAGCGGTCGACGCGGCGTCGGAGGACACCATGAGCAGTGCGATGGGCCGACCGGCTCGCGCCCCGGCCGCCGGGCGTTACCGTTGGGAGGACCTACCGCTTCGGCACAGCGCCGACGCCGACGCCGCGGCGCGGCGGTGCCACCTGCGGCGCCATCCTGGGGCGGCAACTGCTGGCTATACTGTCTTCGAGCCGTGCCCCTGGGCGGCGCCTGCAGCCGCCGCCGCCCTCCTGGCGGCGGCCACGGCCCCCGCGCCGGCGGGCGCGCCTCCAGCGGCGGGGGCCATGGTTCAGGAGGGGAAAAACACACAGACACAATTAATCGTCGATTCCCCAGAAAATATGGGAAAATATGAGAAGTGGGAAGGAAGACAAAAACCCAGAAAATATAGGAAAATATGGAGAATCTTTTTGTTTTTTTGTGTATTTATTTGTGTGTCCTTGGGCCCCTTCAACGGTGCCGGCCGCCGCGGCCGCCCCGCCCGCTGCGCCCACGGCCAGTGGAGGACTATGCGCAGGTGGTGAACTACCTGGCGACGCTGCTTCAGCACGACCCGGTTCAGAGCCCCACATCATCAGGGGTAACTCGGGTCAGGGATAACTCGGGTTCGTTTTTCGGGAATCCAAACCCGAGTTACCCCGGACCCGAGTTACCCCGGATAACTCGGGCGTCCAGAGCCCCACATCATCAGGGGTAACTCGGGTCAGGGCTAACTCGGGTTCCTTTTTCGGGAATCCAAACCCGAGTTACCCCGGACCCGAGTTACCCCGGATAACTCGGGCGCCCAACCGGTGGACGGCGAGAACATTCGGCCCGTGGAGCTGATGTTCCTGCGCCTCCACCAGACCACCGGGTTCTGCTGCAGCGACAAATCCGCGAGCGCGCGAGGGGCGCCTGAGGAGGTCGGCTCGCAGCAGACGAGCAGGCGGCCTTTGGCGCGATCGGGCCGAGGCCAGGCCCACAGCGTCGCCGCAGCCACTGCAGGAGCGCGAAGGCGGAGCTCGAGCGGGACGCCGCCCTCGCCGAGAGCCCACCGGTCGCGCGCGAGGCCCGCGAGGCGCTGGGATCGACTGCCCCCCCAGGTGTCTCCCTGGCCTGGAGGGGGAGAAGCGTGCTATATTGAGGGTGCTCGGGGCGCCCCAGCGCCGCCGAGAATGTTTGACAGGGGCGTGGACAGGGATGTGTTGCTTTCCCCGCGGCGTCCTTCGCCTCGCCAGGGCCGCCCGCGCGCGGGCTCTCGCGCGGCTGGCGGCAGGAAGCCAGCCGTCGGCAGCGACTGCAGGCCGACATTCTCTGGCGCGCAGAGAGGCCGCGCGCGACCGATCCTGGCGGAGCCGCCGTAGCTCCGCGCACCGCCACGGATCGGCCGAGCCCTGCGCGGCAGCGCGTGCGTGCTCACGTCGATGTTCCCGTCTCTTCTTTGGGGCCGCCCCCCAGGAACTCTTTCGCGGGCGGCAGCTCTCCAGGCGCCGCGCCTGGTGGGGGTCCCGTCGGCTACGGCGCCGCCCGCGTTCCCCTCCCCGCGGGCGGGCCCGCCGCGATTCCTCCTCGCCGGGCTCTTTGGGGACCTGTCGGGGAAAGCAAGGTCGCGTGCTTCCCAGACCACCGACGTCATGATTTTTTCATGACGCGACCCCCAGAGGTCCGGACCCCTTCCCTGGGACCGGTTTTTCATCCCGAGTCGTTTTTTGACGGTCCCGAGGCCCGGTAAGGGCCCCCGGGGGCCGAAAATGTAGAAAAACCTCCCGTCGTGATTTTTTCACGACCCGAGGGGGTCTGGGTTTGTCGAGGCGCAGGTGTTCGGCGCCGCTCGAGGAAACTCGATGCGCCCGGGGCCCGCCGCTCCTCCGCCGATGGCCCGCCGTCGGCGGCCCGCCGCCTCGGTGCGCTGCTGCCGGCGACGGGGCGCCTCCTCGGGCAGACCCGCCGGGTCGCGCCGGGGCCGGGCGCCGGCCGACGGCTCGTCGCAGGGCCGCGGGCCCCTTTTGAGCGACCCGCTCGCGGGCGGCTCCAGGCGCTCGCGGCCGCTGCCGCCGAGGGCGGAGCCCGCGGGCGCGCGGGAGGCCCGACGGGTCGAGGGCCCCCGCGGGGCGCCTGCCCCTGCCCGCGGCCGCGGCCTCGGAGCCCCAGTCGGGCCTGGCCCTCCTGGCGGCGAGGGCGCCCCGCGCGGGGTGTCGGGGGCGGCGCGTCTGGGGCGGGCAGTCCAGCTTGCGGCGGCCCGCCCGACCGCGGCGAGCGTGGGGCTGCTCCGAGGGGTTTCCGTCTAGGCGAAGACGCAGGCCCGGCGCGTCCTCAGCCCATTCTGCCAGACAGAGGCCGCCGCCGGACTCGGAGAAGGGGAGTGGGACGAGCTGACCTCCAGCCCGATGGAGATCATGTCCACCGAGGGCGGCTCCCCTAGCGCTGGCGAGTAGCTCCTTTTGTTCCTGGCGTCGGCCCGGCTGGGGGCGGTCGCAGGCCCATCCGCCGCCGGCGCCTCCGGGGCCGGCGCCGCGCCGCCCCGTCAGGTGGCTGCCTCCCGCTGCCCTGCGACGCGGTAGCCCTGCTGGCTGTCGCGGCCATCGGGCGCAGGCCCTGGCTGTGCTTATGATGATGGAGCTGCGTCCACGGCCGGCGGAGCTTCTCTTGCTCTGACGTGGAGACGTGGTGGCGAGTAACCTCTATGGAGCTCGCGAGCGGGTGGTCGCGATCCTTCCGCGCCCGTGTGGGACGCGGGCCCCGTCGACAACCCAGGAGCTCGACCAGGCGATCGTGTCCGACGCCCCCCAGCAATGATTAGGCCCTCGCGGGCGCGCTGGGTCCGCTGGGCCGAGAGCATCCAGCAGCGGCGAAGCGTCTTGGCTCGCCTGTTACCATAGGCCCACCAAATAATGTTTTAATAACCTTTTTTTTGGACTGTCCGAAATGTTCTTAGAACATGTATGGCTGAGACTGGCTTTGTTTTTGCGCATCGGCCCGCGTGCTAAGAACATTGCTTTTGTTGTAAGAGCATTTTCGGGTTCCAAGAACACGTCGTGGTAGGCCTATAGGAATGCCAGGACGGTCGGTTCCTGCTCAAGAGCAGGGCGGCTGCGTGCGACTCGACCTCGCGCGCCACCCTGCGCCAAGCCCTGGACGGGGCAGCTGCCGCGCGGCGCCTAGGGCCGCTGGGCCGGCACGCGGGTGCGAGCGTGGACTTCGCGACGGGGGCTTGGCGCCTGCAGGAGACCCAGCGTCGCGGGCGCTGGCGGTCATTGCGCAGCCTGCGGCGGCGCGAGCGCGGCGGGCGCTTGACCGAGCTGCCGCGCCGACTACCGCGAGACGCGTGACGGGCGCCGGCCACCCCCGCGCAGGAACTGTCCGACGTACTCCGCGGGAGGCGCTTGCCCTCGCTGGGCCGCTGACAGCGCCGCAGGTCGCGGTCTTCCTCGAGCTGTTCGCTGGGCCGGGGCGCCCGTCGGATGCCGTCGCCAAGAGGAACACACCCATGCCCCGCTGGGACATCCTCCTCGGCCCCGCTAGCGACCTCAGGATCTGCGGCGCGCGCCAGTTTTCCCTGCGAGGCCTTCGCGCGCGCGGGGGGCCGGCCCAACGGCACCCCGCGCCTCCGCCCCAGCGAACACCTCTGGGGCCTGCCCCCCTTTGCCTCCAGGCGAGGCAAAGATGGCCAAGTTGGACAACCTTTTCGCGAAGCCGACGATCTCTCTGCGCGCGCTGTGCTTCCAGTGCGCCGTGCCATCCATCGAGTACCCCGCCCTGAGCTGCGGATGGCTCCCTCCGCCCATGCTGAACCTGTTGAGGCACTGGGGCGTCTCTTCACAGGTTCTCGAGTTTTGTCGCTTTGGGACCCCTGCAGAAAACGTGCCAGGGCTGTCGCCTTCCTTGCAGATCTGACGCCCCAAGAAGCCTACAGCATCCTGGCCTGGGTCTTCGAGAATGAAACAGCCCGTTCCCGTGCCATTCAGTTTCAAGCACTGATCGACCGAGCTTGCGGCCTTGGTGAGTGCGCGTCTGGAGGCGCCTTGGCCTGGAGGGCTCATTGGGCAAAACCAGAGCAGCTCCGCTCACCGCCGGCGTGCATGTGCAGCCCGCGCCGCACAGCGGACCAGCGTTAACACTCCGCGTGCGGCGACGGCGGTGCGGCGTCGCCGGAGAAGTTCTGCAGCTTGCAGCCTTTTGCACGCACGTTCCCCAGCTTCTCGTTCCCGTGTCCGCTGGCGGGGGCCCTGTCTCGAGGCGAGGCCGCCCGCAGTCGCATCGCCCTGAATCCAGCCACCTGGCATCCGTGAGGAATGAGCGCATTCTGTTCTTCCCCCTCGCTCCTCCCCCCCCGTCCGTTCATCCGCTCTCCTGCTTCACCACTCCCACACCCTCTCTCCCCCTTGCCCCGCTCCTCCGACAGTTCCTAGGGACCGGGGGTTTTCATCATGTCAGCTTCCCTCCCTTCCCCCCCGCCGCCGTCCGTCCCTGCGTTCCACGAAGCCCACGTCAGGACCCTGGCGGTCTCAATGGGGGCCCCCGGACGCCCTCGTGGGGAAGCTAAAGCCCGTCTCCTCATCCCGCGCTGAACCTTGCCCAAGCCCTCCCACTTTCCTCCTCTGTCTTCCTGTTTCGCGGGCGGTCCTCAGACCTCTGACTATTCGACTCTTGTCCGCACCGCTGGTTCCTGGAGCTATCGACCCCTCCCTTCGGGCACAGGGCTCTTCGTCCCGAGCCGTTCCCTCATCGCCCAGGGGATGCCGGAAATATAGCGACAAAAACCCCACCTCCCGGCGTTACGCGATTTGTCTTCGACTGACAAGTCGATGCCATCCTGCAGGAGAGCCTGGACGGCGACGACTCCTCGACGGAGGCTCGGGCGGGGGACGACGGGGAGGAGCATGGAGAGTCACTGCGGGAGCCGTACCTTGCATCCTCTGGCGGTTCCGATGTGGCTGCTGCAGTACAGTAGGTTCGTTCAGGAGGGAGACAAGCACACAGACACAATTAATCGTCGACCCTCAGGAAAACATGGGAAAATATGGGAAGTGAGGGGGGAAGACAAGAACCCAGAAAATATGGGAAAATATGGGGGATATTTTGATTTGTGTGTATTTTTTTGCGTGTCCTGGGGCCCCTTCGAGCATGGAGATTCATTGCGGGAGCCGTGCCTTGCATCCGTGCGGTTCCGACGGGCTGCTGCAGTGCAGTAGCTTCGTGTCGTGCCGACTCGGCAGCGACCCCCGCCGCTGGCGTTCAGGCTTTCGAACGCCGCTGGCGGCCCAGGATCGGCAACTGCGCTAGGATCTGGCGATCGGAGGGACGCCGATCTTTCCAGGTGGAACGGTCCGCGCGGTGTCAGGAACTATCGGGTCGGGCGAAAGGGGGGGGATTGGGAAAGGGGGGGTTACGAAATTTGTTGCATGCAGCTGGTTTCGGCCTCACCGAGGGGCCCATTTCTCGATACATAGCCGCCTCCGGCGCCGGGAGGCGCCGGGAAAATCAGGCACGTGAGCTGATTCTCAAACCCCCCCTTTGCTATCCCCCCCTTTCGCCCGACCCGAAACTAACACTGGGGTCATCACGACGCGGACCCGCGCCACGCCGCCGTTGCATCGGCGGTGGCGCGCGACCCAGAATCCGATTCCGCGCGATACCCCCGCCCAAGTTATCGGGTGGTGCCAGAGGATGCCCTGGCCCGAGGTGTCTCGGGAGGGAGAGAACACACAGACACAATTAATCGTCGACTCCCCAGAACATATGGGAAAATATGGGAAGTGGGGGGAAGATAAAAACCCAGAAATATGGGAAAATCATATGGGGAATCCTGTTGTTTGTGAGTATTTATTTGTGTGTCCCAGGGCCCCTTCAGTGTCTCCCGTATCTCCAAGGAGGCCCTGCGGCCTCCAGGGCAGCCCTCGCGAGGCCCAGAGGGCCCCAGGCGGGCTCCAGAGGGGCGCGAGGATCCCACATCTGCTGTCTGGCCCCCCCCAACCGCAGCCAGCTTCGGATCCGCCGCCAAGCGCTCCTCCTCGAACGTGGCATCGCTCGGACGTGCGCATGTCTCCTCGGCGAGAGCCATCGAGGACCATCCTGGACCCTCGAGCAACCAAAAACACGCGCGAAGCCGAACAATGTACGGGAACGCGACGTCCGAGCGACGGCAAGCGAAGCAGGGCCGCTCCCGGCCCCCCTTGGGGCGCCGGGGAAGCCGCGGCACCTCCTCTGCGCGAGCACCAGGGAGCCGGCAGGAGCACAGCCTCTCGAGACGTCCGCGCAGATTCCTCCGGTCGGCGCTAGTCGAGCAGTGGCGAAGGGTCCTGGCTCGCCTAATCCCGGGAAGCAATCAGTAAACCCCCCTCCGCCCCCCCCTCATCAGAGGAAATGATAACGCTTCCGGCACCGGGGCCGGGGCGGAAGCAATATCCCCCGCAGGTCACCAGAGGTCCGCGGAGGGGAGGTCCCCGGAGGTTCCAGGAGGCATCCAGAAAGGCCTCCACAAGCCTCTGAATGCCCGGTCCCCTTGTAGTCCAGAGCCCAGCGACAAGGCACACCTGCCCAGAGTCGCTTCCTGTGATTCTGTGCGTTTCTGTGAGATTCCTCAGAGATTCCTTTGATATTCCGATTGGCTTCTTTTGAGATTCCTTGCCGTTTCCATTGTGATTATTTGGGGACTCTTTTGAGACTCCTCTGGTGTTCCTGTGATATAATTCTGGGGGGTCCCTTGAGGTTCCGGTCGTATCCCTGTGATGCCCCATTCCTTAAGGGAGCATCACATCGACATCAGGGGCCGGTGGATTATTTATTTTCAATAGATGTGCTAACATATCGCGGGGGGGGTCGCGGGATCCGTCTGCGATATCTCTCCGTGGACTCTCCCATAGGATTCCCTGAAATAATCAATTTCCCTAGTGCGGTCGCAATCGGGATTGCTTATGTCCACGCGAGCCCGCGTTTTCCAAATTCCTTAGATTCCTTCGTGGTTCGTTTGAGCTGCCGCTGAGATGCCTTTGCGATTTCTGTTGGGCTCCTTTGAGATTGCTTTGAACATCCATTGGTTCCTTTGATATTATGCGTGGGATTCCTTGTGATATTCTTATGGGATTCCTTTGGGGGTCCTTTCAAGTTCCTCTGACATTCCTTCGACAATCCCTGAAGGGAGCATCACATCGACCTCCGGTGCCTGTGGATGATTTCACTTTCAATAAATGTACTAACATATCGCGGGGGGGGTCGCGGAATCCGTCTGCGATATCCCTCCGTGGACTCTCCCATAGGACCCCCCGAAAAAAAAAAAAAAAAAAAATAAAAAAAAAAAAAAAAAACCTAGTGCGGTCGCAATAGGGTTTGCTTATGTCCATGCGAGCCCGCGTTTTCCAGATCCCTTAGATTCCTTCGTGGTTCGTTTGAGCTGCCGCTGAGATCCCTTTGCGATTTCTGTTGGGCTCCGTTGAGATTACTTTGAATTTCCAATAGGGTTCCTTTGAGATTCTGCGTGAGCTTCCTTCTGAGATTCCTCTGGTATTCCTTTGGGGGGTTCAAGTGTAGTTGCTTGCGGTGATTTCATTGTTTGTCATTTTTGATTTAGCTTTGATTTCCGATGCGCGTCAGTTTCCCAGTGTTCTAGCAAGGCGGGAACCCATTGGCAAGCGTTCGTGCGCATTGGTTCTTCAGGCTGTCGCCTCACGTTGCCGCCAGCTTCGGGCCCGGAGGGGGCGAATCAATTAATTATTTCATATTATTTTTTCATGGGCTAACGATATCGCCGGAGGGCGCCGCCCAAAATGATGATTTATGTTATTTTCTGTGCTGGCGATATCGCCGGGGGGGGGGTACTGTTTGCTTCCCGGGGCTATGGCCCTACCAAGCAATGTTCTAAGCATCTCTTGCGGTTTCCACGCAATGTTCTTAGAACATTTCTGGATGGGATTGGTTTGTTTTAGTACATGGGGCGTATGTTGTATGAGCATTGTTTTTGTTCTTAGAACATAGTTGGTCACTAAGAACATGTCATGGTACGTCTATAGGAATGCCGGGACGGTCGGTCCCTGCTCAGGCCCCCCCCGACCCACGGGCTTCAGAGAACCTCCTCCGAACCGGCGCAAAACAACTATTCCGGAGGTCCGCGCCGATTTTTCCAGTCGGCGTTACATGCCCTCCCTCCCCCCCGTCCCGCGAGCTTCGGATAACCTCCTCCGAACGTTGTTGCATGCTCATGGTTCGCGTTCTCTTGCTATGCTGCCCGACAAAAAACGCACGGTCCCCAGAGCTCTCGACTCCTTCCCTCGGGCCGTTCTCTCACGCCGAGGCTCTCGTTGAGGGCTCTGGAGTCCAGAGCGGCCCTCGGAGGCCAGCATTTTCGACAATTGTCCGTCTTGTTTGCTTCAAGGGTCTGGGTGTCTGGGTTTGCCATCCTCTTTTTTTCTGCCAGCTTGGATCACGCACCGTATCCACATGATCGGCATCACGTGGTCGCGGCGTCGATTCAAAGGACCCCCTCCTTTCTTGACGGCACATCCCAAAGAGTGTCACCGTTTGGGCCTTTGGGGCTTGTCAATCTCAGGGATGGGGATGAGTTCGAGGCTGGTGAAATACTTTCGTCCTCTCCGCCAGGCGGGGTCCTCGATGCGGGCCTCGATTGCGCCGATGACGCGCATCAGCGGACGCTTGACGTCGCGCGGCAGCGGGCGCCCTGGCGAGGAGGAGGAGATTCGCGGCCTCCGCCGCCCTCCCTTCCTCACTGCCTCCCTCCCTGCCTCTCTGCCCCCCTCCCCCCCCTCCTCCTCCCTGCCCTGTCTCCGCCATCCTCCCTCCCTCCTCTGCTCTCCTCCTCCTCCTCCTCCTCCTCCTCCTCCTCCTCCTCCTCCTCCCTCCTCCTCCTCCTCCTCCTCCTCCTTCTGTGCCCTGATGGCGTTTTCGCCCCAGCGCGGGCCAGAATGTCTTCCCCTGGACCTCCTCGCTCCTCGTGCTCCTGCTCCTGTCGCTGCCGTTCCTCCTCGCCCCCCTCCTTCCTCAACCGCATCATCGGCAAGAAAGGCACTGCCACAATCTATTCAAAGGTCAGCGTGTGGTGGAAGGACGCCCGAGTGAGCGAGTGGTCGGAGGAGGAGGGGAAGATGAACTTGTTGGGAGCAGCAGCGGCATGCCAACAAGACCTCGATTTACTGACTGCACGGAATAGGGCGCGGCTGTGGTGACGCACGGAAGTGGAGAAAGAGCGGGGTCGGGTGGTGGCAGGAGGAGGCTTGAACATGTGGAGAGGGAGGTGCTTTTTACGCATTCTTGACAGTACCAGTGCAAGGAGAAGTCTTGGGAATGTGTTTGATGATAAAAATGTTACTTTCCACGTTCACGTAATCTGTTGGAACGCCTGCCGCATTCAGGATGGAGCTGTCGACGATGTCGTGGGCATCATTGGGGATGATGTGCATTGGGATGCAGCGTTGGTGCTTGAGGGAGGGTCCAGTTGCAGAGCCCGATAGATACCGCCTGACGCCGGAAAGGTCAAACAATCTTTGTGGAAGGTGTCGAGAATGGAATCGGGGTGTCACGATCCACTTGCACAAACCATGGTTGGGGGACGACGCGGATCTATCATTCCAGTTTGTGGAAAGACGGTTTGTATATTTGAGACGTTGCGATGGTACAGACCAGAGTCAGATTTATTCTCGCGCGCCGTCCTCGCAGTGGGCGCACCGATGATGAGTATGATAGGGCATTGGCAATTCCAAAGAAAGTTGTGGAGAAAGCCGGGGTTTGAGAGTCCATTTCTGTTGGCTTGGATGCAAACGCAGTAATTGGTCGGAGGTTGGAGTCCGACAGTGCAAATATTGTAGGAGGGTTGGGGCGCGGTGGTGACGTGCTTACAGCGCGTCTGAGCTGTAAGCGGCCGCGAGCGGCAACGGCTTTCGAAGGGAATCTGGCGCGTGGCCAGTGGAGACACAAACATTAGAGCACGGGGGCTCTGCGACGCATGGATGTTGGTTGTTTAAAATCGACACGTTCCAGGTTCCGGGGGCTCTGCAACGTTCGGAAGGGAAATCCGATCACAGAGCGTTCGCCGCGGGCGTCACATCCCCAGGCAAACGGAAGCGAACGCGGAGACAACCGCGACGGCCCATGAATTGGAAGCGCCAGTCAGACGAACGCGGTGAAGCGATGGACTTCCACGATGCGTTGGACGCTTGCTTTGAAGAGAAGAAAAGGGGCAGGGGATCCTTCAATAATGATTGGGAAATCCGCGCGGGAGAGTGGAAACTGCCCGAGGCGAAGCGGCGGGGGACGCCGGCGAAGCGATGGTGCGGGGCATTTATTTGAGAGACGCGGGCAGAATCGGACCTGAAGAAGAGGACAGATTCATCGGAATCTGTTTGGCGAGCGTTGAGAAGAAAGAGGAGACAAAGGCAGGGCCATCACTCATCCGAGGCACGGGGCAAGCGCATCTTCCAAGGTTGGAAGCAGGCGGGAGGGCGCGGCGCGAGCCGCGTCGCGTGATAACGCATGTTCTGACAAGGACCCAATAGGCAAGATCTTCGTTTCACCTTATTAAGAGTTTGATGGGGAGAGCGAGGGTCAGGAACGCGTCGCGCCCGTGGAAGCCCGAGGGGGTCTTGCGTCGGAAGACGAATTGCGGATAGCACTGAAGAAACTCTGAAGTCAGGACGCGCGTGGGCGATGATGGACTGGCAGCAGACATGGTGATGGCCCACCACCCCGGGCCATTGCAGACTATTGCTAAATTTGTCGCAAACGTCTCGCGGCGGAGCATGCTGCCGCCAGCGCAGTGGAGACGCGTGAAGTTTCGGGTGCTTTTCAAGAAAGGGGACCCAGCTATGCCTCGCAGTTGCGTGCCCATCGCGGCGCTGCCAGTGATGGCTGAGTTGCCCACCGCAGCTTTGAAACGTTGGATTGCGGCAGACACAGACGTGCGCTCGGGGGGGGGGGGGGCTCGGTTTCAGACTCGGGACAGGGCGCGCGGGTGCCATGCGCGTTGGGGAGGCAATTGCAGAGAAGACTCTAGAATGGGACAAGGAGCTATGGTTTGCGATTCCAGATGCTGCGAAGGCCTCTGCCAGGATGCACCTTGCTGCGTCGTTTGACGCGCTTCTGAGCAAAGGCGCAGATTCGCAAGTGGTCGGGGCGCTCCAGCGTTTATATTCTGCAGAAGTGTACGCATCTTCGCGGGCGGGCGCTGGCAGCGCGGAGTTTGACGCGCGGAGAGGCGCGGCGCAAAACGATCCTTCATCGCCAGTGTTTGTAATCAAATAATGGACGCAGCCATGGAGGGGGCCAGCGCAGCGCGCGGGCGAGGGCGGGGCGCCGCGCGAGCGTGTGTGATGATTTGCACGGGGAGAGGCTGATTCACAGTGCGTTGGCGGACGATCCATGTTTAGATTGCGCGACCCTGGATATCAATGAGATTGTTGCTTTCGTCGTTGCGGGGCGCGCGGGGTAGCCGGGGGTTCCCCCGCGCCCCGCGACGTGTAAAGCGCGGGCCAGAAGGGGGGGCGCCCGCCGAGGGTGGGTTCATATAGACGAGGGATTATTCATCGAAGTCTTGCCGCGCTCAACGCGCCTGGAACTTTTCGGGGCGAAATTGCCCCCTCCTTGACGCGGCGAATGAAGGGGGGGGGGGGGCGCGCAGAAATGCGCGCGGTTGGTCGAAGCTCCGGGCGACGAGCGGGCCGTTGGCAAGTGGGTTTTTTCGTTGAACAAGCGCCCCGAGCTGTTCAGCAGTTCTGCAGCGGGAGCTGTCGTCAAGGGCGCAGAGTCGTCGGCCCCGAGCAGAGAAGATTGCGCGCAGCGCTGAATGCCGCGTCGAGAAGGATTGTGGGCCGGGGGGGGGGGCAGAGGGAGAGGATTTGGTCGAGCGGGCGCTGCGAGCGTCTCTGCAAACGCGACAGCTCGCGCATCGCGCGGGCGCTAAGGACTGGGCGCGGGGGCATTTTAAAATGAAGTGGAGATGGGCAGTGCGCGTTGCTCGAATGCCCCCGTCTGGGCGGGCTCTGATTGTGGCCAGATGGGGGAACTTCGCGCGGCGGGCAACGGTTGGCTCGCGACGGTTGCGCCCAGATAGACCGCCCTGCCGACGACGGATTGATTTCGCCGACGCGCTGCGAAAGTATTGCGGCGACGCGGGGCATGGAAAATAGAAGGGGGGTGCGCGGGGCGGAGAGGCATGGGGCGAGTTTTTTGTTGAATGCGTTGCGTGGCCCAGTGCGTCAGAATACGGTTCGGCATTGATTTCATGGGATTTGTTTGATTGTTGTTTGATGCCTTGCTTCGCGCCCGCGCTTGCGCGCGCGCGTGTGCTTGTTGTTGCTTGGCGCGTCGCGATGTGCGCGCTGCCGCCGCGGGGTCACTGAGCGTTTGGCCTCGCGGCGCTCGGTCGACGCATCGCTGTGCGCTTGCCGCCCCGCCCCGCGCTGGCCTTTTTCAGCCGAGGCTTCGCGCTTCGCGCTTCCTCAACCTTATCCTTTTCCCTCTTGCCATCTCATTGCTTAACCGCCGGCCTGGCTATGCATTGCGCGATGGGTTCCTGTTGGGGATTCCGCGTCCGCCGTGGCACCTGGCGGCGAATGGATCAGCGCAGCGGCCAGGAATGGTTTAGACGGGTCGGATGTCAAAAATAGCGTGAGCGCGTTCATCGCGTCATTTCCCATTTTCCTTCCTCCCAGGTCGGAGGGATGAAACAGTCATGTCCGGGGGATAGAGAAGGAACGGAGGTTCCATCAGTCATCATGTCACGCTAATTGGGATTCAACTTCCTCCCGCGGCTTGAGCTTTTTGTCTAGCGGTCTACTGGCCTTCGGCCCGACCCGCTACAGGCACGGGCCGCCATCGAGACGATCGGGAAACGATGCAAGCACCAGCCAGGTGCTCGACGCCCGCGAGGTGCGCCACGCATGCCAGGTGCGCTATGTGTCACATGGAGCCAAGCGTGCACGGTAGGTTTGGTGCGCCATATGCACCATGTGGTTCATATGTGCACGTTGTGCCACGCGTCCCCATATCGGCACGTGAGCCACGTGCGCAGAGTGCGCCAAGCTCGCCCCCACACCATCCCCTTCAAAAGCCGACGCAACATGATAGCGGTATTGCCAGCATTGTGCATTGCGCTTGCAATCGCAATTCGATTGCATGGGTTTGTGTCGGGCATACACGCACTGGGAAATAGGATGCCCCCCGCCGCCCTTGTCAACACGCTTGCGAAGCTATTGCGGGGCACCCTGATATGCTTTATATGTTACAGCACATTGGCGCATTTTTCTGCCAAGGGCGATGGGGGGTGGCATTGTGGCTGGTCCGCCGCTGGTCGAGTGGTCTGTGGTGGGTTTGCTTGTGACGGCCTGACGGCCGGTGCCGCTGATTTTGAGGGGGCGGCGACGACGGCGACGGCGACGACGACGACGAGGATGCCAACGTTCTGGAGCACTTCGTGAGGCCATTTTGGGATCCTATTGGGCCCTGTTGGGCGGTTTTTCGTTGCACTTTTCAGGAAGTCCCGTGTTTTTTGGAGCCGCCCTGGAGCGGATCTGAGACTTCTCGGAAGCATGCCGACAAATACGCAACAACCCGCAACAGCACATAAGGGTGAGACGGGTTCCTTTTGGGGGGGGCCCCTCTGTCCGACTCTGCCCCCGTGGAGGAACAGAGGGGGGATTTCCTTTTTCGCCTTGTCCACAGGGGGGGACGAGGGGGTCGGAGTTCCCA